ATGATTTCAATGGCAGGTTTTTAAATTCTGATGAATGGGATATTGAAGGAAAATGGCAGCTTTTCTTTTACTTTCTGGCAATTTTTTTGAAGTAAAGTTTTGATTGTGTTTAATCAACTTTTGTTAAAATAACTGTTCCAATTTTAACTCTTCAGAAGCCAGTTGAAATATTGATCAGAAATTGGTTATGATCAAAGGCTCAGGACAAACTTGATAAGCTATAATACTGTACAATTTAGGCAATGTACAATTTTTAAAAATTGGAAACAAAGTTAATGGAGGTTTACACAATGACCATGCTAAAGTTAATCAAGAGCAATGTCATTAAAGGTGGATGTGTATTTCTTCTTGAAATGTTACATTCCTTTGCTTTTTTTTTTCTTATTATTATTGGGAGACTTTGAAGAGTTAAAAAAATCTAAATGTGAAGTTTTGTAGCTTTGTTTGTATTTGACTTGTTTCTTGACAGTTTAGAATTTGTCTTTATTCCAATCATGTTTTTTTTAAGTTTCTTCTGTGCAAGCTTTAAAGGATGCACTCTTGCCAATTCATGTACTGGAAGATCGCTTGTCAGATAAATACAACTTTGGACTTAAATGTCAATTATATAAACTGACAAACCTCAGCTAATCAGTATTATCCTTGTAGATCACCATGTCTTTACATATCAAACTTGGACCACCTCTAGGTGTCTAAAAGCATTCTTCGAGTTTGTTTGCATTTTCCTCCGCTTGCTGGTAATTGTGTTTTTAAATGCAGATGTGATGTAATCTTATTTTCTTTGGATCAAAGCTGGATTGAAAATTGTATTATGTAATTATTTTTGTGCTCTTAATGTTATTTGGTACCTAAGTTGTAAATAACGTCTACTGCTGTTTATTCCAATTTCTACTACCTCAGGTATCCTATAGATTTTCTTCTACCAAAGTTCACTTTCACATTGAAATTATATTTGCTATGTGACTGATTCCTAAGAGTTCCAGGGCTTAAGGGCTAACTTCTTAGCACCTTACTGTGCAAGTAAATTTTAAAGATCTCTGGGTTAAGAAAATTTGGCTTCATTATATTCTTTTGTTATTTTAAATATATCAAGATATTTTAATTAAAAGTTTTTACCCCTTTGAACCAATTTTATAGTATAATTTGTACCTATTTTGGTGGTTTTGTCTTTATAGTAAATAAAAGATTTTGGACAAAACTTGTCCTTTTTTGATGGCAATTACCTTGACTTTATTACTTCCTGGAATTACTGCATTACATGTATTTTCCTTTAAGCAAACAAGATCTTGTCACCTGTTATGTGGTCTGAAAAATGCCTGCAAGTAAGGATGTCATTGTTTCTGTTTCTTGGTTTTAGAAACAGTTTGTATTTGGAATTATAACTGCTATAACAAAAATCTATAACTGATTTATCTACATATTCCTGTAGGGCAAGGGTAAGGATTCTTAAAGCTTTCAAACCCATCAATGAATGTGATAAATTAAAAACTACTGATTTTGTTGGGGTTGCAGCTTTATAAAATTATATTTTTAATGGAAATTGTGAACTTGCTTTAGTTTTTCATAATTCTTGGAATTTGGATTTTATTTTTTAAGACTACCATGCTCATTCTTGTTCCATATTTATTTTAGATTGAAATTTGCTCTTTATAAAAGTAACTGCAGAAAATTCAGACTTTGCTGCTGGCTCATCCTTGCAGCGTGGGAGCAAATTCTAAGATCAATTCAGCTTTGAGTATACATCTGATGGACCTGCGAGATCTCACCTACGGCTATAGCTTCTAGACAAATTAGCTTCCCTATAAGATTGTATTCAACCTATCCTTCCCTCTGTACCTACACAAGTTCTAACCAGAAAAAGGTCCTGTTTAGTGCTTTCCATTTCAGTTGTGTTAATGTGGCCTTGAAGCGCAAAGCCCTCATATCCTATGTCTATAGCAGAATCTCCAAGCATTGAGGAGAGGGGAAACCATGGGGGCACCTCTTTCATAAAGAATGAAAAAGCTACTTTGCAGCATTTGCTGTTTCTCACATAGATAGCAGCAGATTAGTTAAAAGGTCTTGGCAGCAACATTCTGTCAGAAGGCACCCAGTGCCAAGTACCATTTTACACATTTCTCATCTCGGTTGTAAGGTCAGCCTGTGGAATAGCATCCTCCAGAGACCTACGGTATATGGCTCCCATCCCAATGATATTCAGAAAGTCATTGGAAACCTGGCTATTATTCTCCAAGGGCTTGAAGTAGAGTGGTTGTTGAGTCTTTATGCAAAATGTTCTTATGTATAGTTTGTCTTCTGGATGTATGATTTGTATCTGTTTTTATTGTTTGATGGTTTGTAACTCTAAATTACCAGAGCTGCTTTAAGAGTTGTGTGGCTTTAATTTGAAAGCCAGTAGTTCTTGGCTTACAACCACATTTTGGACTGAAATTTCAGTTTGCAATCTTAAGTCAAGACAAGTCAAGTCAAATGGACCTGATTTTGCAGCCATTTTTATGGTACTTATAAAATGAATTCCTCTGGTTGTTAAGCAAATCACATGGTCATTAAGTGAATCCAGTTTCCCAATAAATGCTTTTTAGTCAAAAACCAGTTTAAAAAATGTTGCAAATTGTGGTCACGTGACCATATGCTGCTGTCACTAGTCCAAAAGGTGAGCCACTGGTGAGAAGTGCCCAAATTGTGATAATGTGACCATGAGGGTGGTGTGAGTGAGTGTGACTACAGGTCATAAAACACTTTTTGTGAGACTGTCGTAGTAGCTATGAATCATCATTGAAAAAACAGTTGTAAATCAAGGATTATCTGTATATAAATAAAGCTGCTGAAGGCAAACCGGGAAGGGGGAGGGATGCTTACTCTGTTTGGCCACCTAGTGGGATTATAAAACTGCCAGGACTATCAGCTCCAGATGACTGGAGGGTGACCAAGGGGCCAGGAGAGCACAGCAGTGCTGAGGAGGATTGTCCTTGGCTTCTTGAAGGAGTGTCCAAGAGGTGTCATGATTTTTCAGCAAAGGAGCCCCTTTATGACCAGTCACCTTTCTCTCAACTTTGCCCAAAGGCTGCTTGAATCCTACTGATGACAGGCAACCTCTTCCTGCACACATGGTACCTACCAAGTGAGACTGAGTCATCTTTTACATACAACACAGTCCAAAGCACTGGGAAGGAGGGGGGGGGTACGGACGGACGGACAGTTGAAGTCAACAAATGCAGAAGGCAGAATCTGTGGCAACCAACTAATTTCTCTACTCAAGGGTCTGGGAAGCCAAAAAGGGGCATGCCTGTCACTCTTCAGCATCCCTCCAGATAGTGACTTCTGGCTCTAAAGGCTTTTTTACACAGGAGGAAAGCAGAGAGTGCAGCTCTGGCTTTTGTGAATATCTCAGATGTGTGACTCATACTTTATGAAATAATTTGCCAACCATTTTCATTGTTTATTGAATTAGATTTCCACAAAACATATCTGTGCCCACAATCATTGCTATCCTAACTAAGTGAAAAGCTGGAAGGCAGCATCATATGAGATCAACTCAATAGGCATTGACTGGTTATGTGCCTTCAAGTCAGTGTCAACTCTTAACAACTACATAGATTTTCCTTGCATCAATATCTTCCCGTAACTTGGTCTTTCAAGTTTCCCAATGCCTTGTAACCACCACCACCACTGGTTCAACCACCCTGCCATTAATTCTCTTTCCTTGGACCTTTCCCTGTTTCTTTGCTTCCTTTTCTGTTAAAATATGGAGGGAAACTATCCCTTTATTATTTATGACTATATTCATTCAATTTTTACCTTCAGTTCGCAGAGGCTTAGAATCTCAACAAAATGTATATTTTAAGAATACTGTATCAAAAAGAAAACAAAATCAGAAAGCAAACAAAATGAAAAAACAAGGAAATATCTCTGAAACACTTTGATTTTTTAAAAGTTTCATGAAAGTAATGGTGGAAAACTGGGAGGCTATATAATCGTTTTAAATAAATAAAATAGTTAATTAACTGGTTGATTAAATGATTACAGTAAAAAGTTGATCGAATTTCAAGGGGCAGGAAGTTTCATAGTATCTGCTCCACTACAAAAAGGAAAAAAAAGGTTTGTGGGTCTTCATTCTCTTATTTGATTGAAAGGGGGAACTACAGGTAATCCTTGATTTATGACCATAATGGAAACCAAAATTTCTGTTAAGTGAGAAATTTGTTAACAGAGTTTTGCCCCCATTTACAACCTTTCTTGCCACAGTTGTTAAGTGAATCACTGCAGTTGATCAGATAGTAACCCGGTTACTAAGTGAATCTGGTTTCCCCATTAACTTTGCTTGTCAGACGGTCGCAAAAGGTGATCCACATGACCTTGGGACACAGCAACAGCCATAAATATGAACCAGTTGCCAAGCATCCACATTTTGATCCCGTGATTATGGGGATGTTGCTAAGATTGCAACTATGAAAAATGTTGTAAGCCCCTTTTTTGAGGGTCGTTGTAAACTTTAGTCACTAAATGAACTGTTGTAAATCGAGGAATACCTGTACAAAAAGGTTCTCATTAGTTCAACATTCGAAAAACCAGGATTTTAACTCATCAACTTTCCTGCCAGTCTGACTAGGTGGCTCAGTGGCTAAGACACTGAACTTGTCGCTCAGAAAGGTCGGCAGTTCAGTGGTTCGAATCCCTAGTACAGGTCTCCTGTGTGAGCAGGGGGTTGGACTAGATGACCTCCAAAGTCCCTTCCAACCCTGTTACTGTTAATAAGACAACAGTTCTATGAGTCAGTCGCGGCTGGCTGTTGCTAACGAGCTCTCATAATCGCTACGACCAACTCTCGACTACGGCCTCCTGTGACCAACACTGCTCACAGGAGGCCTGACCGCCCAAGCCTTTAACGTGAAACCAAGTATTCCGCTCCTAAGTAAGCCTGCAAACAAAGTGCGGCAATTGTTGCCCACCATTCGGATCTGCCCCAGATTTTTCCCAGACAGGCACAGAAACCAGAGCGCAAACTTGCTACCCGAGATGGCCAGCATCCCCGCTCTCAAACACGTCCCGGGAAACTTTGCCCTTGTCGAGTTTGGTTCCGGAGGATTCTTTCCGCGAATTGCGGAGGCCCAGATCTGGAGGGGCGAGTTGGGATATTAAGTGCTTTTATTTGGGGGGGGGTTATGTCCCCCTTCACGGTGAAGCATATTGGCGAAAGGCAGATTAGCTTTCCCCCCCCCCCGGTCCCCCCAAGAAATTGAGTGCCGCCTTCGAGATTGGAGGGAGCACGTTCACACACACAAGCACACACACCCGTTTTTATTTCGTCCGCTGCGGCGCGCCTTCTGCTGCTTTCGGGCGGCGGGGCGGTTTGCCGGGCCGACCCCGCCATGCTAGGAGGGTTGCGGAGGCGCTGGGAGGCCTACAAGTACCGCTTCGTGCCCTGGATCGCGCTCAATCTCCGCCACAAGCGCAGGTGAGGGCGAGGGTGCGCGGCCGCCTTTCCCTCCCGGGCCGCAGAACGAAGGGCCTCGCTGGAGGGTAAAGCGATGCAGAGACACCGGGAACACCCTATGCGGGTTGCTTGCGGGCGCTGTTGGAAGGCTGCGGGATCTGGGCAGCGGAATTCCGAAGGATCACATTGCTGCCATCCCCTTTTCGCCAGAATTTTGCAACCGGATCGAAGCTTCTTTCTTTCTTTCTTTCTTTCTTTCTTTCTTTCTTTCTTTCTTTCTGCCTGCCTGCCTGCCTGCCTGCCTGCCTTTCCTTCCCCTTCCCCTTCCTTCCTTCCTTCCTTCCTTCCTTTCTTTCTTTCTTTCTTTCTTTCTTTCTTTCTTTCTTTCTTTCTTTCTTTCTTTCTCCCTGCCCTGCCCTGCCTTTCCCTTTCCCTTTCCCTTCCTTCCTTTCCTTCCTTCCTTCCTTCCTTCCTCTCTCTTTTCCGTACCAATATTTCCATTTTCTGATCGAAATTTTTGTTTTAACAACCTGCGCCCATCTCTCCATATATGATGGATTTTTTTAAAAAGGCAAACGTTCTCTTCATAGATACAATTAAGTAACTCGTTTACTTTGAAGAGTAATTAAAACTCAAAAGGGAGTATTTCTGAATGTGGTGTGTGAGGATAATTCTATACTGACAGCAGTTCACATTCAACTTAATTGGGCTTTCTCTCCAACCTTGCATTTGTGATTTTTGAATTAACAAACAGGTGCCTGTAATAAGACTCGTTTGAATTGATTCTAGGTTCCCTTGCAAACTAATAAATATAGCAAGATGAAAATGTTTGGTTTAATATACTGAGTGAAGTTGTAGGGAATTATAGTCTTATATTTTCACACACAGATAATTTTTATTGTCTACTAGGATACTAATGCTCGCAACAGATTTATGAAAGGTTTTTATTTTATAAAAAATTATGTTGGATATTGATCACAAATTATCAGTTTTAAATTGGGGATTGCCCTACAATATCCTACAACTTCATCAGTTGTATAGTAGTAGATTTTAGTGAGTAAAGTCTTCTTTGTTTGAAATATGTTGTCATTAGAAGTGATCCTTGTCCCTACTTTTTCTCAGTAGGAGGCAAAGGTGATATTTATGAAATACAAATTAATCATAACCTGCCAACTAAAAGAGTTGAAACACAGGGAGAATGGTGTGCATGTTTGTATAGCTACTGTGTTTCCCCAAAAATAAGACCCTGTTTTATATTTTTTTGAACCCTGAAATAAGCGCTTGGCCTTATTGCCATGCGCGCAAAAGCCCGATTGGGCTTATTATCAGGGGATGCCTTATTTTGGGGGAAAAGGGTAACAAATTTACACTACCATATGGATTGTGGGCATTTTGCTCTCATCAATATCTAGAGAGGGCTAACAGAACTGTTTGTGCATCCTAAGGGGACCAAGGATTGTAATTTCACATCGGTGAACTCTAGTCACTATGGGCATATAGTAAGTTGCAGATAAGAGGTAAATTGCAACTGCTTTACTAGCTACATTGACTAAGGCTATGATTCTCCCATAGTATCTGTCTGAATGGTTCACTCTGGCAGTGAAACAATGTCACCTATTGGAACCTTGGAATGTGCTTCCTCTGTAGCAGTGCCTGCCGTCTGGAATGTGGTTCCCCTGAAATTCTCTGCTCCCCACCTACTGGGATTTTGAAGGGCCTGGCTTTTTCTCCAAGCCTTTGGACAGGATGATTGATGCCTCTTTCTTCCTTTTTCTTCCCTCTGTCATCATCGTCCCTTTGACTTGTGCTGTTTTTAATGTTTCGGTATTATTCTTTGGGTTTTTAAAAACGTTTTAACAATTGTAAGCTGCCCAGAATCACTAGGAGTTGGGTAGCATATAAATTGAATAAATCATCATCATCATCATCATCATCATCATCATCTTCATCATCTAGTAACTTTGTTAATATCTGAAATTTAGAGAAACTGCCACATATCACAATTTAGCTAATTGGAAATTGTACAACTATAAGTGTACCTATTTTTTTTCCTGAAACAAGGGGGTCTCCTATCCCTCATCTGCGGCCTGGTGCCGGGCCACAGCCGATTCAGAACAGGGCCACCGAACTGGTGGGTGAACATGCGTGCGTGAAACCATCCCCCTCCCCCACCATCCCCATCACCACTGCCTTTTCTGAGCCGAAAAGGTTGGAAAACACTGCACTGAAACTTTTCTTTTGTTTTCCTCTCTGGTGGGAGAAACACAAGCCATTGAGACAGCAAGTCAGTCATTTGCCTAGGAATCTCAGCACAAGACAGTTGTGATTACAAACTATTTTTCCAGACCAGCCATTCTAGGATTTTTTGTAAGGCAGGGTTGGGGGAACACAGGACTTTGCAGGAATTAACAGGTGCTAAGGAGAATCCAGTTAAGGTCTCTGGCCTAGATGATGTATAGGAGTGGACATCCTGTCTATCTGTTTGATATCACAGTAAACCATGTTTTGGAAATTATAATCATTATTAACAATTTAACAAAATTTTCTTAAAAAAGAAAGAAAATATTTCTGTGTGCTTCCTTCCCTACAAATTTATGGAATTTTAAACCACGACAATTCTTTTACTTCCTCCTATCTTACTTCAGGACTCTACGGTTTGTGCCAGAAGAATCTAAAGACAAAATTGCTTCTGATGAAAATGTCCTTCAAACATTACTGACAGCATTTAGATCTTTATTTGTAAATGACTTGAACAGACAAATGTGCCTTTTGAATGTAATTCCAGAAATTAAATCAAAATATCCAGAAATATACTCGGTGCAGTCCAAAACAATACCCAAAGCAGTATACAACGATCAAGAACGTCAAAAAGCCCTTAATCCAGAAGAAGTTCTGTTCAGTACACTAGGATTCAGCATTATTCGACAACCCAGTTCACTGGAGTCAGCTGGAATAGGAGTTTTTGTAGCAAAAGGATTTGTTCCAGAAGGAACAGTCGTATCAATGTATCCTGGTATGGAAATATTATTTTCATATAAATTCATATAGAAACCGCCTTACATTTCATTCATCAAGTGGTGCAGCAGATCATAGCTTTAGGTTTAATCCTTGACTTAATGTTTATATGTGGAGACACTTTAGAAGAATTAGGAAGGTGAATAGATGGAAAGGTAGGTGGGTGGATGGATGGAAGGATGATTAATGGTTTCATATCTTAACAAAGCAACACAGCTGTTTTCAAGCCAGGAACTCAACACTTTCTGAATTGAGTCCTGGATTCCAGCCTACAAATCCTGCACACTGGGTTGTAATTGGATCCATTATCATCAACACTGAAGTCAAAAGTTTTCCAGGATCTTTTAAGACCTTTGGAATGGCATAGTTTGAACTAGGACAGGGGTCAGCAACCTGCGGCTCCGGAGCTGCATGCGGCTCTTTGGGCCCTCTGCTGTGGCTCCCTGTCAGGTGATCCCACCACTGGCTGGCCCCGCTCCTCGCCATCCCCTCCCAGTCACTCCTCCCTTGGCCTGAGAAGGTAAGGGCGATGGTGGGGGATGGAGAAGCGGCCAGGGCAGAAACAGAGAGGTACAGAGAGAGGGGGAGAGAGAGAGACATAGGGAGATACAGAGAGAGAGGGAGAGGGAGGGGAGCTAAAGATATTTCAAAAGGATTTTGTGGTTCCCGGTGTTTTTTAACAACTGGTTCTCTGCCCTAATGACCGGCTGGGTAGGCGTGGCTGGGGGGGGTGTCATGTGACTAGTGGAAGTGAGTGACATCGAGTTAGCCACGCTCACCCAAGTTTTGTGGCTCCCGGTGTTTTCTTTTCTGTGGGAAACGGGTCCAAATGGCTCTTTAAGTATTTAAGGTTGCAGACCCCTGAACTAGGATCTAATATGTTTAAAAGCTCTTTAAACAACAGCTTTTCTCGTTGATATAAATTAACAGTCCAATGCCTTTATTTAGTCTTCTAAGCATTACCAACTTGAAGTAAATGAGGACTGTTATGTTTTGTAGCTGTCTGTTAACAAATGCCCTGCAAACTAATCAACATCCCTTGCTTAAGTGTTTCCAAAGTGTTTTTCAAAACAGCTTGATTCTGTTTTCTAGGTTTGCCAATACTATACTGACAGGCCCAAATTCATTATGATATGTACTTTTTTAAAAATAGCACCCTTTTGTCCTGTTATTATGCAGTCACTACCAGCTCCGTAATCCTTGGGAAAGGGGCGGGGAGATGGCATTAATGATATTAGTATTATACATTATCAGTGTTATAAATTAATAAAATAAAACCAGTGTGGCATGGCAGATACTGGTAGTCCTTGACTTATGATCACAACTGAACCCCATTTTTTTGTTGTTAAGTGAGATATTTGTTAAGTGAGTTTTGCCCCATTTTATGATCTTTTTGCCACCGTTGTTAAGTGAATCACTGCTGCTGTTAAGTTAGTAACACAGTTGTTAAGTGAATGTACCTTCCCCGCTGACTTTGCTTGCCAGAAGATTTCAAAGGTGATCACAGGACCCCTAGGACACTGCAACCTTCATAAATATGAATCAAGCATTCAGATTTTCTTTACATGACCACGTGAATGCTGCAATGGTTGTTACTGTGAAAAACAGTCATTTTTTTTCAGGACCATTGTAACTTTGAACGGTCACTAAATGAACTGTTGTAAGTTGAGGACAACCTGTACTCATATACTCAGATTTTCACTGCAGGAACCTGTGTTCAAATCCTTATTCAACTGTTTCTTGAACTGTTGTTACTCTTCAGCTTAGTGAGTCTCAGAAATCATGTACAAAAACCCCTTGGAAATAGGTGTGATTCAGCAATTGTAATAAAGTAAAATGGTATTTAATCCATGTCAAAATTCTAAGAATATGCTATTGAGACAAAAGTTAAGATTTTGCTGTATTGAAGAATAACTATAATTCATTACATATAGCTAAGAAATATATACATAAGGATCTAAAATAACTGCTTTTTTTAAAAAACAGGCACAATCTATGAAAATCATGAACCCATATTTTTTCAATCCATTGGCAATCCATTTATATTTCGGTGTATCGATGGTGTACTTATTGATGGAAATAATAGGGGAATCTCAAAGGCTATATACAGGTAAGGCATAATAGCATTGAGTAAATATTGATATAAATAAAGAAGAATTAATAATTATTTCTAATGTTTATACCATATAAAATTCAGGTAGTAAGTATTCAATATGCTATTGGGGAAGAGCTGTGGATTTTCAGAATACAAACTGTGTATGAAATAACTAAATTAAAGCCTTTGGGATATCTATTTGCGGATTTTGCCTTGCAGAAAAAGAAAATTTAAATCCGCAAATTAGAGTTGTAACAGGAAAGCTCAACACAGCTGAAAACTGAATATACTACATATTGACAGCAGTTTAGGTAACTGTGAATTGAGATCGTCCCAAAAGTGCTTTTTCAAGAGGCAACTGGACTTTCTGTTTTTTCTTTGAAGATGTTTTGCTTCTTATTCAAGAAGCTTCTTCAGCTCTGCTGAAGAAAAATTAGAAAGTCCAATTGCCTCTTGAAAAAGTACCTTTGGGACAACTATGACCTGGATGACTGAGAATCTCCATTGACATTTGTGAATTGAGCTGGACTAAAATTGGAGACTTTCAACCAGAAGATCAAATTGTTTTCTACTCAGACATAAAAAACCAAACCAAACCAAGGAATGGTATTAATTACATAATTAAGAAAAAGTTATTCAAGACAATACCAGGCTATTATGCAAAGAACAACTGGTTAATACTAATTAGAGAATCTTGTGGTAGGGCATTGTCTAAATTTATTTATATTGGCCACCTGTCTTACCATATGATAACTCTGGGCAGCTTATAACCAAGCATAATTTTATGATTTATGTCTCAACCACTAATGCAGAAAAAGGGGTTGATGAATTTAACGTTCAAATGTAAGTTGAAATTGACAGACATGCAAGCAAGATGTGCTGCTTGTTACTGGAAACTACAATGCCAATGTTAGAAATATTCAAGGCATAAATGACCAGACTCAAATTATCATACTTTGGACACATTATACAAAGACCTAGCTCTGTGGAGAAGCTATAATGCTGGGAAAGGTGGAAAGAAAGAAGAGGATGACCAACAACAAGGTGGATGGATTTGATTACAGTGGTGATAAGTGCATTGTTGTAAGGCTTAAAGGACCAGGTTGGAACAGATCATCCTAGAGAAGATTTGATGGCACATAATCAAGCAATAATCAGTAGGATCTGATAAAGTAATCTGTATTACGTGTATGTGTCTTGTTAAGTGTTTCAACATTTAAGCAAACAAATAAAGCACTTACACATATTTCCTGGTGCTGCAATTTCTGGCCAGGATCATTGCTAATAACAGGTAGTTGGTGGATAAAATGTTATTTGTATTGATTTCTACAGGATATACTAAAATTACAGAATGACAGGAGCTCTTATATGTTATTTTCTTTCCTTTTTGGTGGAGAGGGACCATAGTGGCAGTTCAGAGTAGGGCACTAACTGAATGCCCTTTCTTGCGCTCTCTTCATCTGATGGTCAAGATGCTTGACCTGAGTACATGTTTTGCCTGTGTACTCAGCATTTTGAGACCAGCAAAAAAGACAATTATTCTAGTCTTGCAGATTTTCAGAATTACAAATTCTCGTTCTTTTAATTTAAAAGAATATAAAACAAGTCATTAGTATCATACTATCTCTACTATAGTTTGCAGAAACAAGTATTTAGCTCCACCATTGAACAGGATGTATGGCTGTTGGGGGACAGTAATTCAGCTCTAGCAAGTGAATGTAAATTTGTAACTGTCCAAGAAGCAATAATGGCTTGGCATCAGGTTATCTGATGGACCGTCTCTTGCCTGTCATATCTACCCTACCCACCAGAGCGGGGAGGCAAGGAATGTTGCAGGTCCCATCCCCTAGGAAGATATATCTGATGGGATCCAGAAGAAGGGCCTTCTCCATGGTGATTCCCTCTCTCTGGAACATCATTCCCCCAGAGATTAGAATGGTCCCCACTCTAACCCTCTTCCAGAAGGTGCTGAAGCAGGGGTGGGTTCTACTTACCTTTACTACCGGTTCGCAAGGGTATCGCACATGCGCAAATCACTGATGATGACATCCGGGGAGTGGGCGGGGCCTCCTGCTGGTTTTACTACCGGTTGTTGTGAACCTGTCCGAACCGGGGGCAACCCACCACTGCGCTGAAGACCTGGTTCTGCCAATGGGCCTGGGGAATGCAGAGCAGGATGGAGCCCATTAAATGGCTCGTATGATGTGTTGTTGCTGGGGTGGGGGGTGGAGGGTTATTTTATTATATATGATTCTCTCATTAGTTTTATTGTTTTTTATATGATGTTTTTATATTCTTGTAAACTGCTTTGAGTTGCCATGTGCCAATAGGTGGCAATATAAATCTCCTAAATAAATAAAATAAAAATAGAATGATGTGACTAATGTTATAATATTATTCAGGTCATGCAGCAAAAGAGATCAAATTGGTCCTTTAAAAATGTGTGATGTCTTTTGGCTTACAACTGCTATTCAAAATCCGTTGGCTGTGGGACAATATGTTAATAATTGTTCATCAGGTAAGACCAATTTTTCTCCTTTAGTTAGATTTAAAAATTGAAGTTGCTATGCATGTTGTCAGTCTGCCAAAATATTGTCTCTGTGTTTCCATTTATAGTTTGCAAATTTAATTTAATTTAATTTAATTTAATTTCCAATTTATATACCGCCCTTCTCCCTGAGGACTCAGGGCGGTGTACAGCCAAGATAAAAAACATAGGATACAAATATTAAAACATTTAAAAATATATATAAATTTTGGCCCGAAAGTTAAGAATCACAGACTAATTAAAAGAATTTAAAAATTTTAAAATTTTAAAAATTTCTTCTTAGGCCAACCCGGCTTGTTGAAAAAGATGGGTTTTCAGGGAACGACGGAAGGCATTGAGGTCCTGGATTCTTCTTATCTCCGGGGGCAACTGATTCCAGAGGGTGGGAGCCCCCACAGAGAAGGCCCTCCCCCTGGGGGCCACCAGCCTACATTGTTTGGCTGATGGCACCCTGAGGAGGCCCTCTCTGTGGGAGCGCACGGGTCGATGGGAGGTCGTCGGTAGCAGCAGGCGGTCTCGGAGATAGCTAGGCCCTATGCCATGGAGCGCTTTAAAGGTGATAACCAACACCTTGAAGCGCACCCGGAAGACCACCGGGAGCCAGTGCAGCTCGCGCAGGAGCGGTGTTACATGGGAGCGCCATGTTGCTCCCATCACTACCCGCGCTGCTGCATTCTGGACCAGCTGGAGCCTCCGGGTGCTCTTCAAGGGGAGCCCCATGTAGAGAGCGTTGCAGTAGTCAAGGCGAGAGGTGACGAGGGCGTGAGTGACTGTGCACAAGGAATCCCGATCAAGAAAGGGCCGCAACTGGCGAATCAGGCGAACCTGATAAAAGGTCCCCCTGGTAACAGCCGTCAGATGTTCCTCCAAAGACAGCTGCCTATCCAGGAGGACTCCCAGATTGCGAGCCCTTTCAGTGGGGGCCAAAGACTCGCCCCCAATAGTCAGTGATGGAGTCAACTGACTATATCGGGATGCCGGGAGCCACAGCCACTCAGTCTTGGAAGGGTTGAGCCTGAGCCTGTTCCCCCCCATCCAGATAGGGGAGGTTTATTCTGTATCAGAGAATAATGTGCTCATCTCCTGCAGAAGGGCTTAGATATTAAAGGGATTGTTTACTTGGATAAATTCAGAGCTATATTAATGTACAGGCATCTCTTCTTCGTTTAAGGTATTTCTCTTTTTCCATCAGAAAAAGAAGCAAATGTTTGCTATCAGGAACTGAACATACCTAAATGTTTTCCTGTAGAATTTAAACAGTATCTTCCAAACATAAACTTCAGCCATGAAATAGAAAGGTGAGAAATTTGTATTTTTGAATATTTCTGGAATAATTTAATAATTTAAATTGTTAAGCATTCTCAGATATTTGAAGTAGGATCTATCAAGATTGTAACAGAGGAAAAATTGCTTGTGTTGTTAGAAATATCAATGCACCATTGAGACCAACTTCTTTTCCTGAAATATTCAATCTGCAGGCCCTTGAGATGTGTGGTTTTGGTAGCTCTCCGAAACATTGGCCCAGGAGAAGAACTTTTTTCAAACTATTACACAGTTATATCTTGATGGTCAACTATGGATTTTTACAGTAATTAAACCAAATGTGGTATCCTTTAACAAATAATTATTGAGAGTTAGGTCCTGCCTTCCACTATATATTTACTAAGTCAACCTTGTTGGTTTTTTAAAATAGTGATAGCTATCTGAAAGCTTTGGTTGAAATTTAAACTTTGTGGATTAGTATGGGACATAACTTATTTGGGAAATGCTTGCTACACAAACACCAGTACAAGCACAAGAGTTGAAATAAACGAGTTCCCCAGTGTACCTGAGTCCAGCATAGAGACTTCAAGTTGTTCATTGTCTCCCTCTGTTGTCCTTTAAATGTATTGGATTTAACACACTCATATTTTGGATTTTGAATGGCTTTATCATTTCTTTTACTATTGTTAAAATAATTTTGTTCATTTAGTTAACTTAAAAAATATAAACCAAAGAAATGTTTGTACTATAGACTTGATATGTAATATATACATATACATATACATATACATATACATATACATATACATATACATATATCTATTTTCTTACTTTTCGTAGGTTTGATGTGTGTTTTTCTTTTAGCCAGGTTTTTCCTACGTAACCAAGATTTTTCTACAGCCCTAGCTCAGTGGAGTCACATCCACTCGATTTTGGGCTTTTTTCTTCTGCCAGCCAGCAAGAAAAAAGCCCATATATATGTCAGATTACTACTTTTTTATGAAAAATTATGTTATGTCTCACACCCAGAAACAGAAATAACAAATCCATTTGCAGGCTGCACCTGAAAGTCTTTGGAAACAGGAAGTCTCACCCCATCCATCCTCTAGAGCCGTGATGGCAAACCTATGGCACGCGTGCCACCTGTGGCACGTGGAGCCATAATAGTAGGCACACCAGCTCAGCTCTGGGGCGCATGTGCGCGCCGGACAGCTGATTTTCGGGCCTTCTGGGCCCACCAGAAGTAGGGAAACAGGCTGTTTCCTGCCTCTGGAGGGCCTGGGGGCGGGGTGGGGAAGGCCCGTTTTTCTTTCTTACCTGGCTCCAGATCCTCTCTGTGTATCTGGGAAGGGCGAAAACAGCCTTTCCCACTTCCTTGGAGGCCCTACAGAGGCTGAAAGGCCCCATTTCCCGACTCCCGGTGGGACAGGAAGTGATGTTTTTTCCTGTCCCCAGCCTCCAGAGACTCCTAGGGAGGCTCCTAGAGACTCCTAGAGAGGTTCCTAGAGACTCCTAGAGAGGTTCTGGAGGCTGGGTACAGCAAAAAATGTCACTTCCTTTCCCACTGAGAGTTGGGAAATGGGCCCTTTCAGCCTCCGTAGGGCCTCCAAGGGAGTGGGAAAGGCTGTTTTCGCCCTTCCCAGATACACAGAGAGGATCTGGAACCAGGTAAGAAAGAAAAATGGGCCTACCAGGCCATCATGTGCCAGGAGCTGGGGGGAGGGATTGCGCACTCATGCGTGTGGGCACGTGCGCGCGCGACCCTCCCCGCCTCCCCTCTCCTGGCACGCAATGGCAAAAAGGTTAGCCATCACTGCTCTAGAGTCTAGACTTATATCTGCAGAAACTAATTACAGTTGAATCCTTATTCTCATCAGCAGTTCTTGGAATTCTACACAGAAAAGGTTTAGATGAGTAAATAAACACTTTGCTTTCAAATAAATGAGTTTTGAGATCGATTTTGATACATTAAGAAGACATAGAAACAAAGCTGTTAAAAGTAGATATTATTTGTGTCCATTTTTAACTATTTTTAAAGCTATGGAATTTAGGTAGATTTCTGAAAAATACTACATTAATACCGCCCTTGCAATGAATTAATATTGTTGATAGTTGTTGATATATCTATATTTTCTGTAGAATGTTTTTTGATACAGAGTACTACCTATTGCACATTTACCAATTTGCATTGCAAATGCATCATTATAAAGATGATGATTTTGAAATTTTGTAGCTCAGAAATAAATTGCTTGGTCCATATATTTGTGAAGTCCACTTCAATATTTTTAGACTCTAATCTTATTACATTTTTCTTGATGTTATTCCCATTAAAGTTAATGAAGCTTACCTCTTTGCTAATACCCAAGAATACCCAATACATTTGTTCAGCTTTTTATTTAAAAAATCATGTATATAATAGTATAAAGCAGGGATTTATTGTGTTTTGGGTTTCAGGTATATGATTACATCCCATTTACTTTAATAATATTCCTTCTATCACATTATAAATTACAATTCAGTGGACACTTTTAGAGAATCTATAGAGACTATAGCTTGTCAACAAACATATACATCCCATGCGAAGAAAACAAAAGTGGAATATGTTTATGTGATAACTTCCGCGGATGCTTCCAGATACTTCTCCAGATGTCAGCTCGGAAAAGGATGAACCAGTTCCAAGCATGCCTAGAGGGGAATTGGTCAATGGCTCCAAGCAGCTGTCTGAAAGGGATTTGGCTGAAGCACAGTTGCAGCAGGACAACCCTGAGGCTTCAGGTTGGGAAAGCATGTAGCTGCAGCCAGTGAGTGATGAGGAAGAGGAACTGCCTTCTTCACCTGATCCAAGAACATGTAGGGCAGAGAAAAGGCAGGAGCAGAGAAGGTCAGCCTGATTACTCATGAGGAAGCAGTCCCCTCTCTCTTGATGGGATGCACTAGAAACTGGCTATTTAGCACAGCAGATAGATGGAGGCGATGTTGGAAATGTGTTCGTTTCCTTGCTATGTGCTCTTGCCTTGAACTTCGGATCGTGTCTCTTCAGCTGTTGCCCTTGCCTTGTCTTTGCCTTGGGAACTTGCTTTTGCCTAGTGGACTGGACTTGCCTTGCCTTGAGGACTGGTGTTGGTTTCATTTGGGTAGCCTGTGGAATTCATTGGGGTTAAGCTGGTGCCATCACAGGTAATTGCTGAGGAATACAATTCAGTCTTACAAGCCTAAATAAAGACTCCTTACACCCATGGTGTGTGTGTGTGAATACAAGTGGTACAACAAGTTTACAGTGGGTGTTACTCCTACTGTTCCGAAATTTCATTATAGCAAGTTAAACTTTGGGTAGGTAGTGTTGCAACACATTAGTAGTTACGAATGCTTTAATCCAGGGGTCTCCAACTTGGCAACTTTAAGACTTGTGGACTTCAATTCCCAGAATTCCTCAGCCAGTGCTGGCTGAGGAATTCTGGGAGTTGAAGTCCACAAGTCTTAAAGTTGCCAAGGTTGGAGACCCCTGCTTTAATCTATAAGATGCTGCACTTACCAAAAAAACAAAAACAACCCCCAAAACCAAAGTTAGCAGACTGCTATCATTCTTAAGGACTATCATGTTTGTAACACTCTTAAGAGATATAACATGGATCTACCGTTATGCTTAACTGTCATGGCGCAGGAAGGTCTTCTGTAAAATGTGATATAAGCATAATAAAGCCATCTTGATCAATAAGGAATGTTCCTTTCTATACAGAGATCCGTTGGAATACTGTTTTTGGTTTCTTCTCAACAACAGGTCATATTGATCCTTTTTGCAAGCGGCACCTTCTTTTCCCCATATTCTTTTCCATAGTAATAATATAGGTTTTGTCATTCAGTTTCCATTTGTCAGTTGCAAATGGAGTATTTGATAACTCTTTTAAAAAATCTTTGTCCAAACATACTAAAGGGACAAATAATGTTGCAGCAGGAGGAAAACTTTCATAGGAGAAAAAGGGTTTCCAGACATTTATTTCTGGAACTGTACACCAGGTATTAAAGTACAACAAATACAAAATAATGTTAAAAAAAATAAGTGTTTATGTACAAATATTAAAACCAATGCGACAATAGCAACTTCCTCTTAAGCATCAGATACTAAAACTGGTTGCGATTGTCACTAATTTATGCACAGGGTGAAGCAATTTGAACCTAGTAAATATGGACATGACTGATTTCTTAGAGGTGGACTGCAGTCCTTAACTGGCCTGAAGCAATAATTAGAATACTTCACCGCCATGGGAAATTGTAATCATGATTATTTGCACATTTACTTTCCCATTTATAGACACTGTGCTTGTAATACTGGCCAGTCTTCTAGTGGTTAGGCTATCCACTAATTTACATTCAAAGAGTTTGTTTCAATTAAATAGTATCACTAATGCACTACTGGATGTGAACTTAACATGGATCTGATTATTGGTTTCCAAAGAAAAACTGCACAAAATCTAACAGTACAGAGTTCAATACTTCGGAGAATATAACACAGTCTGTAGGTAAGATTGGCCTGTCTTTATAAAGAAGAAAAAGGAACACTTAAAAAGCTATCAATGAGAGGATGAAATGGCTAACAAAAGTTGAAGTATTGCTCTATTGCAGCACCAATTGCACATCCAAGTGAATCAAATGTTCTTTTGGAGTTCCTGTAAGTGATACTTCTACAAACTGCAAGAGCCCACCATGGATTTTTGGTTTATACAAATGGATTGAGCGCAGGGGAGAACAGAGAATATACTCAGCAATGAACAAAGAAGTCATCACGGTTTGTTAGAAGAATTGTGCTTTACCTATAATGAATCAATGCAATGTCATTTTTATATAGCTGCAATTTAGCCAGCTTCATTCTAATTCAAACGCAATTCTTTTAATAAACAGTAACAATTTCTTCAGTAAAGTGTTTAAAATAGAGAGAAACAGTTTTAAGTCCAGCTTTTAAAAGAAAAATTCAATAAATAGCTATTTTACATGAATAAAGTCATAGTGGTACAAATTTATGAATGTCACATCAAGCATGCACAAAATGTTACTATACACAGAAGTAGTCAGAAAATATTGAAATAGATATCTAAAAAGATATGCAGAATGTACATATTTACATAATCTTGCAAATTATTGCCTCATTTTAACAAGGAATTAAAAGTAAACATTACCAGCTAGCTAGCCAATAGGCTAAATTAGATCAGCAATTAAAAATCTATTAAAACTAGCCAGAATTCATTGTTCTCTCATACCATTTTTAGAATTTTGGTCAAAAGTCTTTATTAAATAACTAAAGTGTCCATTTAACTTGCTGACAATCAAAACTTTAGACGAGAAACTAGACTGTCTCGGTCTTCATTAAGACCCCAGCAATGCATAGATAAACTGAACATAGTACTGCATCAGTTGATGAGAATGGGTGTGTTCATTTAAGTGCAACTGGTATAAGCATTCATACATTTTGTGTGATGATTTTTATACACACCAGCCACTGGAAAAACCCATAAACATGAATGTATAACAAAAGGAAAAAATATGGCCAGTATTTTACAAAATAAGATGTGTTGAATAAGAGAAAAACCCCACAAGATACAGCATTCAGCACAAATTACAGCAACAGGAAGCTGACAATTTGACTGAAAGGATCAGAATGTGACCAAGGGCCAAGGCTACCCATTATTGTGTACTGTATTAGACTGACAGGTTTCAGATGTATACTTTACAACAGATCACCATTAACATACATATGTGGTTTAATTAATATAATTAAATTCTTAGAATGCTTAAAATGTGCTATTTGAGAAACTCAAAAACTTTTGATAGTGACTCCCAGCACTCTGCTGTTGCTCAAATTCAAGAAGCTAATACAGTCTGTAGAAATATAAAGTACACTCCTTTTGAATTATTAAGGTGTCATTTTTTTGATATACAACTATGAAGCAATTTACTATCAACACTGAAAAAAAAAAAAACCTTAAAATCAGTTGTAACAAAATTAAATATATATAAGTGTCAGTGTAACATTGGCAAGTTTTATAATAGATAACCAAAGCTTTAGTGAACTTTCACAAATCCTTCAACACAGAACAATCTTGTCAAAGATTTCTCTCTGGAATATTAATATACTTAAATCGGAATAATCCAGGAAGAAAACTACACTAATGGCTGAAAATGATTCAAAGATCCATTGCATCATCACCATCTATTAGTCTAGAAATTTTCATGCTATTTTGAACTGCCATGTTCTGAAGTAAAGACAAACCCCAATATGTAATTCATTAGTGGAGTGAGCAAATTGTATCATTCTTAGTGGCTTTAAGCAGTGTTAAGATAATACTTGATGTTTTCAGATTCTATTTCTCAGAAGTATAGATATCCCCCACCCCAGCTCGAACAACACACATTTTTTTCAGCCAATACATTAAAGTACACAAAACCTTTGGACAGTATAACTAGTTTTGTGTAAGGTAGCCGTGGCCTGTAATGTTATAAGAGCATCTAAGCTTGTCCTCAGACTTTGCTCTTACTGTCTTTTGTGCTAGTATCCACCAAGATGAATCTGTTGTTTTATAAACTGAAGTGCTCTGGTTTAATATCAGATGACAGAAGCTTCCATTTAAAAATATCCTTGTGTAGTTGTGCAGTTTAAATTAAAGAAATGTTTCCCTGCTTTTGATTTTTTTTTAAAATGCTACATTAAGCAAGGATCAGAACTGGTACCTGTAAACAAATGTTATTCCACTGCATCCATTAGGGCAGAAGCAACCTAGAACAAAAACCCACTCTATTAAGTTCAGAACTTCTGTGCTGGTTTTGAGACAGCAGTCTCTCTACGGATTTAAAAAGAAAGGAAGCAGAGCTTAAAGCTGCACCACATAGTTCTCTTAGTCCCGAACTCTGCTAGATATTATATGAAGTTTCCACATTTATGGATTGGAAAAAAAGTGAAATTATTCTTGATAAATCAAGATATAGTTCTGTACATAAAGACATCACTGATGTCATATAGTTCAAACTTCCAGTGAAAGACTAAGCAAACCTGATTAATTCATCAAGTTTACCACAAACTACCAACAGTGTTCACTGTCTTTAATTTGCTGCTTGAATTCATTCTGAATGGAGGGCAGTGTGCTGGTGTAACGCATGGGCGCTGATAAAGCCATTTGTCTCATTTGCCGATAGACTACTGAAGTCAGCTACCGAGACTGCCATTTTGGCACTGGTAATATGATGTGTATGATTCTCAAAATCAACAGCCAAGTTGTTCACCGAAACTTCATTCATGAAGGATTCTGGGACCGCAATTCCCATTTTCAATCTCTTGGCAGGCCTTTCAGATTCGTCGCCGCACATGTTCATGGTATTTAATTCAGAATGATAAAATCCAGTCTCAAATAAATTAAAACAATCACTTTCACCATTACTAGGCAAGTTAAGCAAATCTTCTGTTACGACAGGCACATGATTAACTGCTGTTCGGGGCAAACTGTCCAGAGGTGGGAAGGCGTCTTCTGAGTTCACATCTGTAGAATGGCAGACTGTAGCTACGCTGTTGGTCAGTGCTAGAAGACAGAAAAAGATGTTATACAAGATGTAACTATTTCCCCGACCTATAGTCATACTAAGCTCTTCTAATTTACCTTTTAATTTACCTGTCAAATCATTGGCAGTGATTGAATTCAGGAGGCTTAGTTGTTGATCAGGAATGGGCTCTAGTCTATTATTTGACATTATGGCTGAAGAAACTGCACCACCTAAAGCTTCTGCTTCATCTACCAACCGATCCATATAGTCCCTGAAAGAAAATGATCATAGAGAAGTTGTTCAACAAAATCCATCTGGAAAGCATAATAATGAACTACTATTAAATTGTGGGAAATTCTAAATGAGATATTAAGCACAAATGTTTTTCCAAAATCTTTCAACTTACGTGACTCCAGGATGGTGGTTGTACCTCTTTTTTCCAAATCTTGTTTGTTGAGCAAAGTAATCATATCGTTCAGATTTCTTCCACATGTAATAAAATGCTACACATTCAGCAACTGTCCTGGTTCTCACCTAAAGACAGAAAAAAAAATTAGCCTTAATACTTGTGGTAAATTCTTATGGGGAAGGACTCCAAATCATAAAATATTTGGCAAATTGTTAATACTCGGAAAACTATGAATTACTAGTTTGATTCCAATATGATAGATCTGCAAATATCATGTCAGCTGTTAGCATAGAAGCAGAGAAT